ATAAACGGAGAAAGTAGATTGCAGCAAGGTTGAATTAACACAATCATTGCATATGAGCTATCAAGCTAAACAAAGGAATAATCAATTCAAAGACTATCACAATTAAGAGAATCAATTGTTAAACCAAATTACCGATTTAGCATATATAAAAATTTAACAGGCCAACATAAGCATTGATTAAGGAGCACATTAAAGGAATTAACCGGCATTAAGACTGTTAACCCATTTACACAGAACACAAACATATTCAAGCATATAACATAGTGAGGGTGATATGAGAAGAAATTTAAATCAACCTAAATCTGCAAATGATAAAGTAAAACGAGCAAATGTCCGGAGGGTCTTAACGATTCATGCTTAGAACAAGATAGATAACTATTATTGATAATATATCACAAAAAATACAGATGAAATTAAGAAAAATTATTAAAAGTGAATAGTAATTTAAACAAGGGCAAACTCGGACGGATCTGACGGGATCCGTCTTGTACGAAAACTACAGCACTTCGAGCTTCGCAGGAATCTCGTGAGGCTACTCGATTGTTGTTTTCACTCGCAACTGCTGCTGGCTGTCGATGGATGTGCGTTGGTCGCTGTTGTTGCTGTTGCTGTTGTTGTCGCCGGCTGGAGCTGTTGTTGCTCTCCTCGCCGGCTGCTGCTGTTGATTTGTTGGGGCTCGCTGACCGGAGCAGTTGTGGGAGAGAGAGAGAAGCAAGCTTTTGCTGATTGGAGAGACGAGAGGGAGACGACAATTTATCTCGCCATTCTCACAGAATAGAAGAGACGGGAAGGAGCAAGGAGAGAAGAGAAAGGTGAGGGGAGGAGGGCGAGGGAGAGCTCACCGGCGATGGTGGAGCTCTCGCCGGTTCTCACTGATGAAGGAGTTTCCGGCGCTGCTAGAGAGAAGAAAAGAAACAGTTTTCAAAATAGGGTTTGGTCTTTTAGTGTTAAAATAGGAAAGATGGAAACTTTGATCTTGACCATTGGATCAGTTTAGATGAGCGGCTAGGATTGATCTAGGGTTTAATTTAAAGGATGGACGGTTGAGATTAAAAGAGAATTAAATCTGATTTCGGAATAAGAATAGGCTAAAATTCAAACTAAAATTGATATAAGAGGTTATAATTGAAAAACGAAATTGGATTGAGGTGGCTGGAATTGAAATGGATTAGAATAGAATAGGCTAACATTTAAATAATTTTGAGGGAATTTAAAGAAATGCTATCCAATTAAAATACTACAAAATATTTAAAATACTTAAATTTTTAAACATTTGAATTATTTCGAGTTTTACTAATATTTATAGTATTCACAATAATTTTTATAAAACATGCATACTAAATATATATTTTTTAGACAAAATTGATTAAAATTTTAAACCTAAAATATGTTTTAAAAATACGTATTTAATCGAAATTTCATACCCTGACCCTGTGACCCACCCCTCACCCCCGTCAATCTTTTTAAAAAATAAAATAAAATTGACAAATATTTTAGGGTCGAAAGTCTGAATTATTAACTCGTGCTATTCTGAATAATGACAAACTTAATTCATATCGCAGGAAATCAAGGAACAAGATCTAGAGAATGATATGGATCAGCAGCTTCACCCAAGGAGGCAGATGGATTCTGGATACTGATACAAATCAGCAGCATCCACCAAGGAGATAGATTGATACAATCAAACAATCTAAAAGATTGACTCAATAAGATATCATCCAACTAGAAGACCACATCAATTCGCATGAAGCCAAAAAGGAAAAGGCAAGTGTTAGACAATCAAGATGACAAGTAGATCAAGGAAGATCACACTGTGATACCGAGCAACAAGCCAAGATTCACATCAGACTCTGTTTCAAGGCAGAAGTTTGAGTGCTGCAACCTAATCAAGGAAAATACACACTTAATCAAAGAAACATTACAAACCCTTGATTGAAGGAAACTCCCTTGAATTTTTCTATTAGAGCTAAAATCATGACATACTCAGCATATAAATAAAGACCCGAATCAACAGCTGAAAGTGCGCAACTTCACTTGAACTTATATTATAATCTTCTTTCATCTTTCATAAAGTTTTGTACACTTTGAGTGTACAATTGAAAAAAAAAAAGAGAAGGAAAGATATTGAGTGTAGGTTATACAGGTAGATGTCGTGTCAAGATAGAAACTATGATTTGCATATCAGACTGGATTCAAGATCAAACTCACTGTACAACCACAATTTTCTTCAAGATCTAAAGGAAACCCTTGAAACCCAAGGGAATTGGAAGTAGGCACCACATCAGTGTTCTGAACCAACATAAAACATCCTGTGTCAATTTACTTTATGTATTTACTCTTATTTTATACTGTGATACTAACCTGTAGGTGAGTCGACTAAAGAAATTTTTAATTCACCCCCACCCCCTTAACTTTCATGGGTCAGGTCTTGGGTCAGATTTCAGGGTCGGATTTTGGAACGGTCGTCGAAGTCGTGTCCTAGTTTGGGTGTTAGGGTCGGGTCCTTAATCGATTATCGAGGTTGCTTTTCGGGTCAGAAATTATTTTTCTAAAGAGTATTTTGTTGTCTCAAGACAAAAATAAAAGATATTTTCTAGAAATGTTTTTCATTCACTAACCAAATATTAAAAAATATTTTTTCTTCACCAACCAAACATGAGAAATCAAGTTAGAAATCCACTTGTTTTCCAAGAAACATTTTTTTGAAAAACATTTTCATTTGTACCAAACACATCCTTGGAGAACTTCTTTTTCTGCTTCTGTCGTCTTATTGACAAGGCTGCCACTAAGGTCAATTGGATTGATAGTTATACAGAAGTAAGTGACATATTTGTAGTTTTGTATTATTTCAATAATTGGGACTTGGGAGAATGAAGGAAGACTCCAAAAAAAGTTATTTGCACTCAACTTAGATGAGGGTAGCTTCATTATTAACTTGAATCAGAATTGAATTCAAGGATACAATCAAATTCTGAAGTGATATAATAATCTTGATATACTATTGCTGATCCAACTCAAAAATATATAATTCAACTCTAAGTTAAGCAAACGAGATCAAATTTTAAGTAGCGTATTTTGTGTTCTCACAATGATTAACAATTACAAATATGTATCTAGTTCAAATAATCTTATGGTTAAACCTATGCTGTAATTTTTCATCAAGTGTCCCCTAATCCCCCAGTAATCCTTAAGAAGGTTGGAATTAATTTCTTTGTCACTTTACTAAACTTTAATTTGATTATAAAAACATTACTTGTCGTTCTAATTTGGAGTTAGAAGCTTAAATGGTCATTTAACTTTAAGTAATTGGTCATCGTGCTCAATTTTGTTGTTTTTCAAAAGTCACTCAACTTTGTCACTTAAAACCCGTTTGGATTGATTTAAAAAAAAGTAGCCTTTGAGTCAAAAATAAAAGTCAAACTTAAATGACTTTTAAATAAAAAAATAACTTAAATGATTTTTTAAGTAAAAAAATAAAAAGTAGAGGAGACCTACTTTTGGTTTTTAATTTATTTTAAGTCATTTTAAATTTATTTTAAGTTATTTTTAATATTGTCAAACACTTCCTAACTTATTTGAAGTCATTTTTTTGACTTATTTTAAATTATTTTTATATTTGTCAAACCCTTTCAGAAGTCAAAAACTGATTTAAAAGTAAATTTGACCAACTTTTATGTCAATCTAAACACTCTCTTAGTTAGCTTTCATGGTCATTATTTCCAGAAATATAACTTTCGATACCTATTTAATGATGTTCATGAAACTGTAAGTTTTTAGAAAAAAAATAAATTTAAAATTAAAATCAATATTTAATTATTGGATTCTCAGTCAATTTTTTTAATTATATTTTTGTTCTTTAATTTTTTTTTCTTCTTGTTCATTAATCGAATTTAATAAGATATTGTCTTGGGTGTGAGTATTTTGGATATGTTGCGGGATATACTCAAACAGTCACATTCATCAATAAGGTGTTATTAATGTATCTTTTAGATTTTTCTTGAGTAATGTGATTAATGAAGAAAAATTAGCATTTTAAAATAATAATAATAATAATAATAATAATAATAATAATAATAATAATAATAATAATAATAATAATAATAATAATAATAATGAGATATCCATTTTTTAAATTTAAAAAAACTACCTTTTTCAAAATTTGCGGAATTAATTTTTAAAAAATTTCAAAAATTGTGAAACCTTAAAACTTCTATAGTATCAAAATGATGATATCAATCAATTATATAAAATACGAATTTGACTATGTAAGTATCCTGATAACATATTTAAAATAGTCATATTCAAAACAACAGCTTATTAATTCAATTAATGAAGAATAATGAGAGAGAGAAAATAAAAATAACGCTAAGATAAAATGCTTTATTGAATTATAGAAAACACGAATTTAACTAATTTAGTGTATCCCGTAACATATCTAAACCGTTCATACTCACAACACCACCCTACTAAATTCGATTAACGAAGAATAACAAGAAAAATAAAAACAAATTAAAGAGCAAGAAAATAATATGTAAAAAATTGACTTAGAACACAATAATTAAATATTTGTTTTAATTTTTTAAAGTGTTTTTTTCTAAAAGTTTACAAGCTTTCCCGTCATTAAATAGATACCAAAAATTACATTTTTGGGAATAATTACCATAAATGTTAACTAACTATCCAAAATTGAGTGACCATCCAAGCTTCTAACTCTTCCATTTTACTTCCTCCGTTCTTTTTACTTGTTACTGTATGACTTGGCACATCCATTAAGAAAATAATTATTGATATATGTATTTTACCAAACTTTCCCTATTGAATGGTACCTGTTTAGTATTAGGTCTTAGAAAATGATTTGGAGAATAAATATTTAAAGCTAAGGGTAAAACATGAGAAAAATTAATTATTTTTTCTTGAAATATCAAAAGTAACAAGTAAAAATGAAAAATTTATCTTAGGAATAAATGACAAATAAAAATAAACGGAGGAAGTAACTCACATCAATTAAAATTTTCCTTGTCCTCAAGGAAGAAAATTTCGAAAATAAACCAATAGTGTTGATAATCTTCCCAAGTAGCCTGGTGTGCAGGTAACTTATCCCATTGAATTGATTCTTGGCCCACAACCTTGTCTCCCTTTTGTACCATGCACCGATGCAAGATATTTTGAGGTTAAGGACAATATAATAATTAATTAGGACTTGAAAGCTCAATTACATGTACATCAGAAATAGTGTCAAGCAAGCTATGACAAAACAACTTCAAAAAATGATGACCATACATAGAAATTTTATCTATATATATAAGGTTGTATCTTTAGATGGACTTGATTTCCCCTCCTAAAATTGTCTTATCTGATTTTTGTTTGTTATGGTTGAAAATTATTTTCAGTTATTGGAGTAATTTTCATTTTAGTAAAATAAGGTGTAGGTTTATAATGATTTGAATTTTAAATTTGTTGAAATATTATAGATTTTTAATCTTTTATAATTTTCAATTGACACTAAAAAAAAAAAAAAAAAGAACCTTTTTGTGGCGACAAAAATCGCCACGGAAAGTCAAAATATCGCCACGAATAACCTGTTGTGGCGACCACGGATTGTTGGCTATATACTACGTGGCTGATACTTTTCCGTGGCACTAACACAAGTCGCCACCAAAGGTTTAGTTTTTGTGGCGAGTAATTCCACCACAAAAATGTATTAAAGTGCCACGAAAATCACCTAACAAAAACGTAAAATATTGGGAAAAAGTGAATAATTATTTAGTTTTTTAATTCAATTATTTAATGACAATTACAATACTCAACTTCTTTTCGATATTACTTCATCCCATTGTTTTTTATTTTATTTTAGTTTTGCTCTCTCGGTGACTCAAACTCACAACCTTAAGGAGCTTACCATCCGAGCAACTCTCTCTTGTCTGCCAATATTTATTTTATTTTTAACTTCATTCACTTTTTTCAAATTTAACTTCTACGAAAATAATATAGTATATCATCATCTATACATATACACAAACAAACATACGAAAATTACCACCCATATTTCATTCAAATTTAGACTAGATTTGATGTCTGCCAATAACTAGCAAGAGTTTTCATGATAAATTTTTCTCAATATAAACATGAAAAAACTAAAAAAACAACAATAATATTGATAGTAAAAAGAGTAAGGATAACAAAAGCAAAAGAAACAACTGTAGAAATTAATGGAAGATAATGATAATAATGAAATAATTAATACTAAGAAGGAGAAGAGGGAGCAGATAAGGTCCACCAAACTAGAAACATGATTTCCCACAAAGAAGGGAAATCATTCGACTATGTATACCTACTAACCTTCTATTCAGGGGTGGAGCTATTCTTGCACGCTCAAAAGGTTTCAAGAGACACGTTTTTGTAGGAAAATTATATTGTACAAGTATTGACCTCCTCTTGACATAAGTAATTATGCCTTCATATTTGATGTTTGCATCATATATATATATCACTCCTTTAATATCGTAATCAACGTATTTATCTGTTTCAGACCAAAACTTATTAGTAGTGATTCTCGTAAAACAGATTTACCAGAATTAACTCAAATATGGTGTTGACACCATCATTATGTACCAAAACAGAATCAACATGTACACCATCAACATCTAAAAAAAAAAACTCATGAATGATACCAAAAATTAACATAATTACACCAAAATAGAAAAAATATGTGCACCATCATCATGTACAAAAAGAAAAAAAAAACTATGAACGAAACCAAAAAAATCAGAATTACACCAAACACCAACTATGAACGATAAATTTCACCAAATCACATACCAAAACACAGAATCACAAAAAATCAAGTTTGAATGACACCAAAAATACCAGAATCACACCAAACTAATAAAAACGATCTATTTCACTAAATCAATTACCAAAACACATAAGCAGTAAATATGATTTATATTCTAAACCCCAAAACCATACAAAACAAACAAAATGAGTTAAAAAAGATTCTGAAAACACGGAATTAGTGAGAATTAAAAAATAAAACAAAACAGAAACTCGAAATTGGTGAATAACAACAACAAACCATTTTTCAACATTAATTATACTACTCGTTATTGATATAATTTAATTTTATAAAATTGGTTTTTAACGTTGTTTTTTCGATTGTAACACAAAAAAAAGCCCATATCAAACATGGTATACTACAACATAATCATCATGATTATTAGATAAATCACGTAAAAAAACACAAATTAAATATTGAATTATCAATAATACCTGATGCGTCTCAACGTTCTTTATGTTGAATTAGGATTGAATAACTGTTGGTATCCATGATTGATCTGTCGACCAGAATGAGTAGAAAGAGAGGTTTTTTATTTTTGTCAAGAATCCTTTTATTGATAGGAGAGAATATATATAACCAATTTGAGAAAATCATGGAAGGTCAAAAAATTGAGAAAAATAAAAGGAAAAAGCAGAAATCGTGGAGGAGTAATTGAACGTTTTTTTTTATATTATATATTTTTTAATATTGAAACATAACTTTGAAAAAAAAAACTATTGTTATGTAGGCGGAAAAAAAAACTATTGCTATATAGTGGTAATTAAGGTAATTAATTTGTATATTTAAATTAATTTTTCCCATATATAAAATGTTTTTTGAGCGCAACCATATTTTTTCCTTTTTAATATTTACTTTGTTGGCTTTCTTGTATATTTAATTCCTCATATTTTGACACTCCTTGATGGGAATTTTGTTTCTGCCACTGCTTATGTCCTAATCCCTACCATTATGCTCTCCTTAGTAGGGGGAAATGGAAGAAGTAGTCCCTTTTCCCTGAAACTCACTGGCTTGATTCTCAGGCTTTAGCCAAAGACACATATGTACTCGGTGAGCTAGATATGTGTCATGTATCCTATCTAATCACATTTCCCTAATTTTTCCTTGGTCTACCTCTACCTCTAGTGAGACCTAATATTTCCAAACCCTCGCATCCAGGGGCGGACCCACGTTGTATCCAGGGGGTTCACCCGAACCCTCTCGGCAAAAAATTACACGGTATATATAAGGTAGTTTTTTTGTATTTCTGTAGATATATATATTTTGAACCCCCTCAATAACAAAGAGGAGCTGATGGTGCATTGGCAAGTACCCCCAAAATTATGTTGTATGTCACCGGTTCGAATCCCACTAAAAGCGTTTTAGTTATTTTTTATTCAGTTTAAGTTTTTTTTAGTTTATTTTTAAAATTTTCAGTTCTGTTTTTCAAGTGTTTTTAGTTTTTTTTTTACTTTAAAAAATGTGCTAAAAGTTTGGTTTTAAACCCGTAGGAATTCAAGGTTTTCATTTCGAAAGACTTATTTCACGTTTATACTTTTATTTTTCAAACCCCCTGAACGAAAATCCTGGGTCCGCCACTGCTCGCATCTCATTACTGGAGCATCTGTACTACTCTTCTTCACATGATGCCCGAACCAATATCAACCTCATTTTTCGCTTGTTCATCATCGAGGTCACTCTCACCTTGTCCCATATATATATATATATATATTCGTTCTTAATTTCTTATCTCCTGATATGGCTACACAATCCTCTAAGTATTCTCGAATTTTTTATTGGACAACACACTGCCTCATACAATATAGGTGGTCTAACAATCATTCCATATGACTTATCTTTAAATCTCAGTGGCATATTCTTATCACATAAGACACTGGATGCAAGTCTCCATTTCATCTACTATGCTCCAATACGATGTGTGACATCATCATCAAGCTCCTCAATTTCTTGCATTATTGACTTAAGATACTTGAAAATTCCTCTCATTGGGACGACTTGTATACCAATCTTCACTTCCACACCTGTCTCATGCAATCCATCATGGAACCTCTACTCGGTGTACTCTATTTTAATACTATTCAACTTGAAGCCTTTAGATTCTAAGGTATATCTCCAAACCTCTAGACTATCGTTAACTTATTGTGTCTCTCATCAACCAATATTATGTCATCTGCAAATAACATATAGTACCGTAGTATATATACCTCTCCTTAAATATCTCATGCCAATTTATCCATTACCAGAACAAATAAAAATGAACTACAAGTTGATCCCTAATGCAACCTCATCTCAATTGGGAAGTCTTTCGAGTCTCCTCTGAACGTTCAGGATTTGATCTTGATTCCATCGTACATGTTCTTAATCGCTCTAATGTATATGTCACATGTCCCTCTATATTCCAAGTAACTCCACAAATCTCCCTTAGGATTTTATCTTCTTTATATATATATATATATATATGTGTGTGTGTTAAAAGTGATAAATAAAAATGATAATTTTTTTTAAAATAGTAGACAAATAAAAGTGAACGAAGGGAATAGTATCTAACCTAAGAGTACAAGTCTGTTATGATCGAATTGATAATATTAGAACCTAATACTTAAAATTTATCCCGAAATTAACTCCACTTATCTATCACACCAAACTACCTCTAAATGTATGTTATACTATGTTAAAATTTCATCTTGTTAATGTTATTTTTGACCCTACCATGTCTTTTTTTTTCAAATGATACTGAAACAATTTTAGGTTGAGTGGCCCACACAATTAAATTAGAATATCAAATTGCATTACACAACAACTTCATTAAATGCTTTACATCATATATGTATTTAAAACACTTGTTTTGTCTTTGTCAACGATTATGAGACTTTGTAACAATAATGGGTCATCTCAACGGTAAATTGAACTACAAAATGAATGAGTAAATCGTGCCACAAGCTACATTACTAAAATTATCTCTATAATTTCTCGCATCAAAGATTAAATTCAGGGTCATTTGGATTTAATTAATTCCTGATAAGTTTTGATTCTTTTTATGTTGTGTATAACTTAGATTTATATAAATAGGCAAAACATAAAAAATTTCCTTTTTGTATAACTTTGATTCTTTTCCCCTAAAAATGGAAAAAAGTTTTCAAATGTCCTATTATTAATGGTTCAAAAATGTCCTCATTTCATTTATTGAATCAAATTTATCTTCCTTCCACTTATTGGGTCAAAAATGTTGTTATCGTATTAGAAATTGTTCAAAAATGTTCCCCTTCCATCTATTACATCAAAAATGTCCTTAACCTATTACAAATTGAGTGAAAATCATTTTCACCCCAACTTTTGCTTTAAAAAATAATTTTTTCCCTCAACTTTGAACAATAATCAAATTCTCTCATTTATCCTATACATTATCCATTTTACCTTTGTTATATGACATATATGTAATAACCTCTTTATATTATATATAATTTATTTTCAAGCTAAGTATTTATAAATTTTTCTAATAAGTTCATTAACATTATAAGTAAAATAATATTTTTATGCATTTATCACAAAATTTAATATTATTTTAATTTTATGGTTGTTATTCCACCAATATAATATGCAATAAGTGTACGTGTATATGTATGTATGCGGATATTTGTGTCTTCCTCCACTCCTTTTACTCCATGCTTTTCATATTATTTGGTCCTTCTTGATATGACACCCCTTAAAAAAAAATTAATTAGAGGTGCATTTTACTAAATTAATATTATTAATATTACTTTTAAATTTGATTACTATTATTTTATGTAGTTATTTAATATTAAGGATATAAATTAAAAAATCGTTTTATTACAAAAAATCATAAATTGCACAAATAAATTAAAATAATTATTTTTAAAATAATGGTTAAGTAATTTAAACGGCAGCGTATTGTCTATTGTCTATATAAATAAACAAGTTTTGATTGACATATAAATAAATTATAGTTTAAAATAAATACTCCTATCTCGAAATATATTTGTTGCTATTTTCCCAAAAAGTATATTTGTATTTTTCCGAAAATCTTTAGGAAGGAAGACCACGTAAGATAGATAATCCACGTGGCTTGTGGTGAAACGGTAGAGAGAGTGCTAATCACGAGATTCTGGTCTCCGCTCAACTCTGGCAGTCACAAATCTCCTCTTTTTTTCTTTCTCTTAGTTGTGTTCACGTCGTTCATCCATTTCTCCTCTCTTCTTCAAATTGCTATAAATTCTACTCACTATGCGACCTGTTACTTTCATCCTTTGATTCCTTTACCAACTCTTCCTTTTGACTTTCCACTTGCCGATTTCCATGGAAATATGTCGTCTGCTTCTCTTTTTTGCTGCGATTTCTCCCATTTTCCGGCTTATCCATGCTACCTCCGGCGAAGATGATCCCATTTACCAGTAAGTTCACCTTCTATTCTTCTTTTTATGCTCCTTTCAACTGTTCTACTATTCTAACTTATTGTTGTTTCGATTAACTGGTGATTAGATTCCAAAATACTACTATTATGTTTGATTTTTGTCTCGTAGATTATATAATTCATAACTTTAGGGATTTAGCAATTCGCACAGCTTGATTATATATACCATGAATTTACTAAACAATTAAATTGGAAGGAGAGTGCTTCTATGTGTGGAGGAAATTTTTTTACCTAGGAAAATCGTTTTTCGGAGTAATGTCGGATATAAAGTAGGTGACATATGGTAGATTTTTGAGGTGGAGGAGAGTAGGAGTTTAGCGTTTTCCGGTTATTTTTGAATATTGAATAATAATGTTATAGTTTAAGTTGACATAAGTGATATAGAGTATGTTTTCATGTTTTGGGAAAATTGTGAAGAAAAATAACCTTTACTCATCAGTGACAGATAGGCATTTACTTTCTGTTGGTAGAAAATATTTCCGGTCATACCAAACACTGTTGAAGACCTTTTCTGGCGATTAAAGCTTTTTTTCGTTATTTCTGACATATATTGATACTTTACTTTCTAAAATTGATAGCTGAGTCATTTGAATTTAGAGGTGAGGGTGTTGTATCACTTCATTAGTGTGTGTCTGCTCATACATATGGGAGATGGAGAGTTATTTTTTTTGCCTATCTATTGTTGAAATATACATTTCAAGGAGAAATTTCAATAGTCAATGAGCTTTTATCTTGTGGTAAAAATATGTGTTTCTTGTGTTGTTGAATTTTCGTCCTTGCTTTTCCAAAGAAATGGACTTGGATTTCTAGAGTAACATGTGGAATCAATTGATCTTTTCTTGTTGAAAATTAAAACCTGTATATTGTGCCTTACACTCCTTTGGATCATTAGTGATTTAATCATGGATTAAAATGCTCTGTGGTCAAGGAACTTGTTACTGTAGGGAACTTTTTCTTTTCAAGTAAGTATCATTTAGACATGACTTCAACCACATAGATATTGACGTTAGTCATACAACTAAGTGATGTCGTATGCTGGTGGCATTTCGAATAAAAAAGGGTTTAAATTTGGTTTGGCTTGTTTTGTTTTAATGTTTCTACGGAATATTTGGTCTTTATCCATTTTGAGGTTTTCAGAGTATGAAACAGCATTTTCGAAAAAACAAAAGCAATGAAAGCAGTTGTTTATAGGCCTTAGAATGCAAACTAATATAGGATTTAGAATGTGTATATATTAGACATGTTTTGATCACGTTCTTCTTAATATGTACCAGATTATTGATACCTCAATATTTTATCTCTTGAGTTAATTGATACTAGTGAACTACTTTTTTACATCATAAGATTATTAATTAGGAGAGGCACCGTCATGTCCTCCAAAACCGTGGTTAGTTGTGGAATGTTACTCGTAATATTTTTCTTTAGTAAATTATAGTTATGTAACAAAATACCTAATTTATTGCCCTCCCTCCCCCC